CACAATAGTAACTGTACAACACTCTTCCCAGACAGCAGGCATGTGACTTATTACCTTCATTACTGGAAAATTGGTTTTTGAAAAAAAAAATCTATGGTCTCTCTCTGATCTCCATATGAGTTTCTCACTAGTTTCCAAATGAGTATTTGAGTACCTGTATAAGCCCTGACAAGCTGGATTGTGGCTACTGTCCAAAGACTCTGATCCATCTTGATTTCCATTCAAACTGAAGATCTGTGATCAGTCTCCACTGTCACCAGTTTTCATTGATGGGAAACCTCCTGATCTGTGAGAAGTCACCCTTTGTTTTCAGACCCTTAGCCCAAGGGGATGTTTATTTCTTTGGCTTTTTTTCCCCCAAGAAAAATCACCTCGATACAGACATTTAAAAATTGTATTCGCATGTCTGTGTTTTGATAAAGGGAATAAAGTTTTTTATTTCTATATTATAGTTTAAATGTTAACTAGTGTTTGCCACATAGTTTACAAATAAAATTGCTTGTGCTTAATAATCGGATTATTTTGCTGACTGAATCAATGATGATGTGACCAGCGGAGTAGCAGAGCTTGATTATCAATAAACATTTCCTGTCTGTCATAACAAGGTCATTGCATACAACAAAGTTTCTGGTGTTATCAAAGACCATGTCACAAGGTCTAAAGTCAGTCTGTGTGGGGCAGTTTCCTCATCTACAGTTGGATGATTCAGGGTATCAAGTAAGGATTTTCCCTGCTATGACAAAAGAAATACCTTGCCAGCTTAACAGTATGATTGAGCTCTGATCTTGAAGACAGTAACAATTGTCACATTTCTGAAGTCGAGGTGGAGTGGTTGTGGGTGGACCAACTCTTTTTTAGAACAAAGAACGGTACAGCACAGCGACAGGCCTATCGAGCCTCCAAGCCTGTACCAACATATTTTGCCTTTCAACTGTCTTCACTTAAAGGATCCATATCCCCTCTATTCCCTTCCTATTCCTGTATTCATCCAGGTGCTTCTTGAATTTTCTCCCAAATCTGCAGGATGAGTGCATGGAATTTTGATGTGAACAGAAGTCTACTAGCTTTTTTGGTTTTAAAACCACTTTCAATTTGTCCAGTTGCTTTCAAAAAGGTGCATTTACCATCCGACTGCTGCACCCCCTTGAGAATTGACACTCTTTACAGAAGAACCATAACATTGACATTAAATTCCATTGTCACACGTCTATTTTGTCCATGTCTTAAGATGTATCACTGTCCTCTTCACTCTCAATTTTTATATTGTTTGTACATTGTAGCAGGAACATTCAAGTCTATCATTCATGGAAACCAAGAAAAGCAGTGATCCCAGTATTCACTCTTAAGGCTTAGTGAATTTCTGCAGTGCATCTTGTAGAAGATTCACTGTATTATTGAGCATTTACAGTGGAAGGAGTGAAATTTTGAGGATGTGCTAAACAAGTGGACTGCTTCCTCCTCAATGGTATCAAGCTTTTTGAGCACAGCTGCTGCTGCATTCGTTCAAGCAAGTGGGGAATATTTCATCAGACTCCTGACATCTGCCTTGTAGATGGTAGATTTTAGGGAATCAGGAGTTGAGTAACTTCCTGCAAGGCTCCCCACTTCTGAAATGCTTTAGAAAGTTGTGTATGGCTAGTCCAGTAATGGTAACCCTCAGGATGTTGATAGTGGAAGATTCCATGGAGTGCAAATGTTGATGACACTTTCCATCACCTTTCTTGATGATCGAGTAGACTGAAGGCAGTAATCATTGGATTGAGTTTGTCCTGCATTTTATGTTGAGGGCATACTTGTGCTGTTTTCTACATTTCAAGTAGATGCCAGTGTCGTAGCTATACTTGAACAGCTTGGCTAGGGTATGGAAAGTTCTGGACCATGTCTTCAGTACTGTTGTAGAAATATGGTCATGACCCACAAATTTTGCAGTATCCAATGCCTTCAACTGTTTGTTGTCTTGTGGATTGAATCTAGTTAGCTGAAGCCAATCGCCTGTGGTGCTGGGAATCCGTGTGGAAGGCCAAGATATATCATCCACTTGGCACTTCCAGTGCATATTGCTTCAGCCTTGTCTTTTCCAATTCCATCTGTTAATGATTTAGCTATCTAGTATCTCAACTGTTCTCCCTTTTGCTGTGGCCTTGGGAGTCTCTTTGCTTGATGAAGGCACAAAGTAATGATTCGGCCTCGGTAGTGTTATCTGCTTCCATGTGTTGGGCTCCTTTCTGATCCCAAATTGACTGAACCCTACATTCTTACTACCACTTCACTATCCAAATACCCATAGATTATTTTTGGACTCCCTTTTACAAGAGCTTAGTCTTTTCCCATACACTCTGGCCAAAGTCACTATTGATCCCTATTCCCATCTTTCATAAGCTATGAATTTCTCTGTTGCTAGTGCATAGTTGCAACCATAGAATGGTTACAGCACTGAAGGCTGTGGCATCTGCGTTGGATCTTTACAAGAGCACCTTGTCTAGTCCCAATCCCCTTCTTCCTCCTCCCAGCTATGAAAATGTCTTCTGTAAATAATCTAGTATTTTATCTTGAATCACGAGTGAATGTACTTTCATCACCATCATTGATACTGAATTTCAGATCTTAACCACTTGTTATCTGTCTTCCACATCAATGTGACTGCCTTTCTTAACCCTCTATTACCTCTTCAAAAATTTCAGTGAGGTAGTTAAACACCATATTTTGCCTTAATAAATCAACACTGGCTTTATTTAATTTATATAGATTTACCCCGAGACTATTAATTTTGTCTTGTCTTTTTTTTCTAGAAGTTTTCTCTACCATTTATATCAAATTGACTGACTGACTGGCTTGTAGTTGCTGCAGTCCAGTCCTGCCCTTGGTTTTGAGCTATTATTGCTGAACAACCTATTCATTGTGGTTGGTTGTGCCGCAGTTCAGCAACCTTACTGAATACTCTTGCATTCTTGCACATGTCTTGACTTGTAAACTTAATTCAAACATTAATCTCTTAATCTGACTCTCTACTTATACCTTCCTATTAAGTATTTCTTGTGCTTCCTTCTCTCCTGATCCCTTGTGAACCTTGTATTTCCGAATCCTACATCATGCTGCCTAGTCCCCTACAAGTTAGTTTAAATCTTTTCAACAGCACAAGCAAAGATATATTGTCCTGGTGTGATCTGTTGTTGTGAAAAGGCTTCTTTTAATCCTGTCCTTTGTAACAAGGTATTGGACTAGAACATATTGTTTGTTTTTGCAAGATGCTAAATGAAATTTAACACTTTTTTTTATTTTGGATGATTGGCTGAACACTGACACTCTTTTGCGTATTCAAGAAATGCTTTTGATATTGTGCAGGCTTAAAGTTCACAGAAACGTTGTTTGTTTTCATTTTGCAAGCAGAGTGTTGCAGCCTCCTGGTGGTGGATCCAGTATCTCATTTGGGGTGGAGGAAAATGTTAAACCGGTGCATCCTCGTTCAAACAAGACTGCATCAAATATCTTTGGACCGCCAGTAGAAAACCAGCCTGTGGCTAGAAGAAGCAACCCACCAGGTGCAGTACAGTATATAATGTGAAAATAAAATATTGCAGATGCTGGAAATCTGAAACTAAAAAATACAGAATGCTAGAAATGGTAAGTCAGGTAGAATCTATGGAGAAACAGATTTAACATTTCTGGTTAACTCCCCCATCCGACTGAAGAGATAAGTGTAATAGATTTTGAATAAGTGAATGGAGCAATGAGGGGCCAGATCAAAAGGGAGGTTTGTAATGGGGTGTAGGGCAAGAAAGATTAAATGATGAAGCAAAGATGTGAGGAAAAATCTGAGTATTTAGGATATGGAATGCTTTGAAAGGAAGAATGGAGACAGGTTCAACTGAGGAGTTCAAGAGGACATTTGATGATTTGGATAGAAATAGTGTGTGGGTGGAGTTGGGGAGCAGGAAATTGGCACATGGTAATGATGGTTGTTTGAAGAGCTGGTGAAGGCGTGGACTAAATGGTTGCCTCCTGCACCATAACAGTTCGGATTCTGTGGAAAAACCTATTGTGAATCTGGGAAGAAATAAAGGAGCAAGAACAGAATTATCTGAAATAGATCAAACACTCTGGAGGGCCCTGTCAACCAAACTCAGGTGGAATTCTAGGCCAAGGAGAAAAGAAGGCATTGGAATCCCTAATATAGAAGGCTGTCATCTGAACAAATATGACTGAAACTAGGAGAATTAAATAATCCCTAGCCAGCTGCAAAGGTTGGTAGGCTCCCAATTTGTAATGGCTGACTGAATTTGCCAGATTATTGAATTTCTATCTTGCATGTTTACAATAGTCCTTTCTATTTAAGAACGTTACGGTTGAGTGAAAATTCTGCCTGATGGCGGAGGGCCAATATACTGAGTTATACATGCACATATGTCTTGATCCTCCACTTTCTATAATCTACAAATTTTAAATGTATGGGGAATTTTGATTTGAAGTTAAAATGAGACCTATTTGGCAAACTGATTGTGGTGTGTAAAACTAAGTTATGAACTTAGAAGTCAAAACTTTAAAGTCTCTCCTTGTATTGGCTATTACATGGTTCTTTCTGTCCACAGAAAATGTGATCGGAAGCTGGTTTGGGGTTCATACAGGACACTAGGACCTAGGGCTTCATCTTTTTTGCAATCTGTCTATAACTTGGATGGAAGAAAAATTGTACAGTAGCTAAATTTCTTGATGACACCAAGATAGGTGGGAAATTATCTTGTCAAGAAGAGTTCACAAAATGATAGGTTGTGAGTTGGCAAAACAAATTGGTATATGGAGTAGATTGTGGTAAAATAGGAACAGGAGTAGGCCATTCAGCTTTCAAGCCTGCCTTTCCATTCAGTACAATAATGGCTGTTTGAATACTTCAGTGCCTTTTACAAACCCTATTCCCATAACCTTTTACGTTACTAGAAATCTCAAGTCTTAATTTGTACTGAATATATGCAAAGACTGAGCTTCTCAAGCACTCTTACAGAGAATTCCAAAGTTCCTCAACCCTTTTGAGTTTTAAAACCATCTCCTCGCCTCACCCCTAAGTGGCAACTCCCTTATTTTTAAACTGTGCCCCAATTCTAGACTTCAACCAGGGGAAACATTTTGCGTATGTCTACTGTCTACCTCTAAGTATTTTGTTAATTTCAATGTGATCACCTTGTATTCTTCAAAACGCTGGAGAATTATAGGCCCAGCTGGCCCAATCTGAACACTATGGGAAGGTGATGGCCAAGTGGTGTTATCACTAGACTATTAATCCAGCGATTCGGCTAATATCTGGGGACCTGCATTCAAATCTTGCTATGGCAGATGATGAAATTTTCAATTCAATAAAAATCTGGAATTAAGAGTCTAATGATGATCATGAATCCATTAACAACTGTTTGAAAACATCTGGTTCACTAATGTTGTTGAGGGAAGGAAGCTGCCATCCTTACCTGGTCTGACCTACTTGAGTCCAGACCCATAAGAATGTGGTTGTCTCCTAACTGCCCTCTGGGCAATTAGGGATGGGCAATAAATGTTGGTCTAGCTAGTGATGCTCACATCCCATGAATCAGTTTTTAAACACTCTCTTCCTAGGTCAGTCCTGCCATCCCAGGAACAAGTCTGGTGAACCATCCTTACACCACCTATGGCAATAGTATCTTTCCTGAGATAGAGACCAAGACATTATGCCACCTTAGAACTTATCACTGTTCATTCACAGTTGCTGCGTCAAAATCCTAAAATTCCTTCCCTAAGAGCCCCATTGGTCCACTTGTACCGCATGGATTTCAGTGGTTCAAGAAATCATCCAGTACCTCCATTCTCAAAGGCAATTAGCGATCAGCAATAAATACTGGCCTAGCCAGTGCCACCCCCATCTTAACCAATTTTAACAAAAAATGAATCAAACATTGTTTCCCTTTCACCTAACCACATGGACTCTAACTGATCCCATTATTATTTTCTAAATGGTTTTGCTATAACCGCCTCATTATTTCTCGTAATTTATCTATGTCAGATGTTTCGCTGACAGGTCTATAGTTTCCTGCTGTATTAAAAGCAAAGTGCTGGAGAAAAACAGCAGGTCTGGCAGCATCTATAGAGAAACTGCGTTAACATTTGAGTTCAAAAACTCTCCCTGAGAAGTTTGGAGCTATGAAGAAAAGTCACTGGATTTTAAATTTAATTCTGTTTCTTCCCTCAAAGCAGCTCCAGACCTGATGAGTTTTTCCACTTTTTATTTCTGATTCCAACATCTGCAATATTTTTTATTTATATATTCCTGCTTGTGTCGCTTTTCTTTCTTGGATAAAGATGTAATACTTGCTCATTTCAAAACCCTTCTAGAAACTCAAGAAATTTGGATAATTATAACCAATCCCTGTTTTTGCTTTGTAGTCATTAAGATCCTAGGATGCATGCTGTCAAGTCTTGGGAGTTGTCAGCTGACTGGTCAGTAGTTTTCCCAACATCATCTCCTTAGTAATGGTGATGATTAGTAAGTCCCACTCTTTCACTTCATTGTTTTGAGTTATCTTTGGCTGATATTCTAAGTCTTCTACTCTACAATGAAGACAAAAATCAAAATACCTATTAATGCCTCTGCCATTTCTTTGTTTTCCATTTTGTCAAGTCCCCAGATGGTCCCTTTTAGAGGACTAACATTTTCTTTAGTACTCTTTCCAGAGTTTCTTGGAAAGATTTTCAGAACCTGTAATATCCTGACCTATCTATAATCTTTGCACTTTGGTGTAGTTTGTGCTGTTTTTATATTTATCTCAATTTGATACTGTCCAGAACTTTCTATTTAGCCATGGATAATGAATACTTTTCTCAGTCTTTTTTATTATTGAGATATGTCATTGAAAGTATTTCCTTAAATATCTGCCACCACAACTCCAAAGGCCCACCTTTTACCTAATTTCCCAATTCCTGCTAACTAGCTCTCTTCTTATTACCTTTTTTCAGGTTTTAAAGCACTAGTCTCAGATTAAGGCTTCTCCAATCCAAAGGTGAAATTCTATCATGTTATGACTGCTGTCATTTGTGGCTCCTTTACAAGGAGGATGTTGATTTTCATGTCTCGTTGTTCGTTGCCCTGAATACGGTCTATGAAGTCTCCTTTCAGGCTACCTTTGACAGTTTGATTTGTGTGATCTGCGTGTAAATTAGTCATCTATGACATTCGAACCATTCTTACACTCCCAATTTATTTCCACTGTATAGTCTGTCCTACAATACAACTACTGTTTGGGGACCTATAAACTGTTACCACAAGTAACATCTGACCTTCATCTCTACCTAGATTGATTCTACACCTTCACTTCTAGAGCTAAGGTAATCTCACTATTGCAGTAATGTACCCCTAATAGAGAGTTTCCTCACTGCTTCCTTCCTGAATATTCAGGTCTCGGCCTTTGTCATCTTGTAGGCATGGCACTCTGATCATATGTACTTATTTCTAATAGAATTGACAGTTCATCAGTTCTTTTACAAAGTATTTGCAATGTGCACAGCAAAACCTCAAAATACTGTCTTTTTACCTTTTTTTTTTTTTCAGTCTTATTAATTTGTACTTTGCCTCAACCTGCCGCTGTATTATTACAATGACCCAAATTTTGTCACCCTGCTCTATTACTTTGTATTTTGTTTTAGATTTACTTCATCTCTTCTCCATAATCTGATCTCAACTTGCCCCCAATCCTCAATACACTTGCAGTGGCACTTGCCTGTGCCTGACCACTGACTAAATCAGATGACCCTATCCAAATGTGTTTAATTATCTTGTGTATGCACCATAGATAACACTCCCAGCTGATGCGTCAGTGTCTGTAGTTTAGCTTCCAGCTCACACAATGCTTGAGCAAATGCTGCGGATACTTAACCCGATGTGGTTGCCTTGGATTTAAGTGGCGACCATCCACCGCTCCCTGATGCTGCAGTGACAGTATTCTAATACACCCCTGACTTTCATCTTGTAGATGCCAGAGAGACTTTGGGAAGTCATTGGTGTGTTTCCTGCTCAGTTTTTTGCATCCGAACTGCTCTATAGCCACTATATTTTTGTTTGTTTTCAAATCTGTTTCTGGTCAATGCTAAAATCTGCTGGATTTTAATGGTGGGATTCAGTGGAAATGCTGTCAAATATCATGGATAAAGTGTTAGATTCTCCTTTCACGCTCAGGCGCTGAAGTGCAAATATTGCTTGCCACTTATTGGCTCTAGCTTGAATTTTGTCTTCTGTATCTGGATGTGGACTACTTGGGTATATGAGGACTTGAAAATTCTACTGAACACTATGCAGTCATCATCAAACACCCCACTTGTGACTTTGTAAAAGTCAGGAATTTAAGCAGTTGAAGGTGATTGGGTTTAGGACACCCCCTTGTGGAACGCCAGTGATCTTGACAATCTTTTGTGCTAGATATAGCTCCAATCAGTGCCAATTTGCCCCCTCCCAATTATTATTTAGTTTAGTTTTTTGCTAGAACAGCTTCATGTCATGTGGGGCCAAATATTTTTTGTTGGGGCTGTCATTTGAGCCTCAGTTTTCCAGGCATTGGGTGACCACTTATTCTTCCTATCAAAACGCACTACCTCATGCTTATTTATTTGAGCCAGTTCCATGCCTGTTCTCCATGCTTCAGAACATCTTCCTGTATATCGATTGTAGTCCTGCCCTGTATTAATTACATTCTGCAATCTTGCTTCTACTTCACAAATCCAAAGTTTTTGGATAAATGTTGGACAACTGGTCCCAGCACCAGCGTTTGTGGTACATTTAAAACTACCCTTGACTGACTGCTTTGTCAGCTTGTGTATGAACATTCTGCTAATTCATAGAGTTGAGACACAAATCAGCCATGACCTCACTGAATATTGGAATGAGTTTGAGCAGCTGAATGCTTGCTATTTCATACACTTGTTGTACACTGTTTTAGAGTGCCTTTTGGACACTTTATAGATGTATTTCCTGTTAGATTTATTTGAATTAATGCACAAATATCAAGCCCCCATTGCTGCTACATTCCTAGCCTTGTATATACTGGCTGCTTGCAGGAGATTACCTTCAAATATTTGTTTTCTTCCCTCTGGTAGCCACTAGGAACATTGTGTCTGTGTCTGTGTCTGTGTCTGCCACTAATGCCAATCAGAGATGGGACTCAACTTGGGGAAGACAATGGCTTAGTGGTATTATTGCTGGACTGTTAATCCAGAGACCCAGATAATGTTTTGCGGACCTGGGTTTGAATCCTGCCATGGTAGATGATGGAGTTTGAATTCAATAAATATCTGGAAATAATGGCCTAATGATTGTGAATCCACTGCCGATTGTTGGAAAATCCCAACAGGTTCACTAATCTCTCTTTAGGGAAGAAAACTGCCATCCTTACCTGGTCTGGCCTACATGCGACTGGAGACCCACAGCAATGTGTTTGACTCTTAACTGCCCTCTGGGCAATTAGGGATGGGCAATAAATGCTGCCTGGCCAGTGACGCTGCTCTCCTGTGAATGAATAAAGGAACTGCAAGAACTACTTTTGAAGTAACTTGTCTGGCCAAACACTACTGCTTTTGATACTATGTAATTGATCGTCCAGTAAGGAAATGTTTTACTTGATTCCAGCTTGCTGTTGGTGCTTAAGACATGCTTGACTATTATGGAAGTGCTTCTTATTGCCTGGTTCCTATTGTTTATCCTGTCCAGTTCTTATTCTTCTGCTATTTCTAGGTGGAAAGAGCAGCGGTATCTTTGGAGCTGCTACCACTGAAACACCAGATCTAAAGCAACGGAGAAACCCACCTGGTGGCAAGACAAGTGGCATCTTTGACACTGTAAAGACACCCCCCAACACTCTGGTAAATACCATTTAGACTATTCAGACACCATCTGGATGTAACTTTGCTTGTGTTTTGCTGCAGAATATCTGGGTATCTTTGTAGTACATGATGTACTATCTCTAGTTGACTAGACTGTTGTGTACCATTTTCCCATTTGATTTTAGCTGCCATAATAACTATAGGACTAGTGTAGTATTACTGAACTGTTATTTTACCGACTCCGATAGCAATGTTCTTTATTTTCACTCCAGAGTAACAGAATAAGTTCAGCAGAACTGAATAATACATAGAGAATGCTCTTCAGTCCACCATGTCTGTGCCAACCATGACACCTTTCTATACTGATCCCATCTGCCTGCACATGGTCAATGTTCCTCTATTCCCTGCCTGTCATGTTTCTCTTTAAGGGCATTTTAAATGTTATCACACCTGCTTCTACCACCTCCCCTGGCAGCACATTCCAAGCATCTACCATCCTCTGGTTTTTAAAAAAAAAAAAATAAATAATAATAATACTTGCCTCACACAATGTCATTAAACTTTGTCTGTCCCCTTAAACCTATACCCCCACAGTATTTGGTATTTCCACCCTGGGAAACAGACTTTTACTGTCCACCCTATCCTGCCTCTCATAGTTTTCACTAGAGTGTCAGAGGATGAGGGGCAAACAAATAGAAGAATATAAAACTAAGTTTATTCAGCCTCCCCTTTATAGGTAAAATACTCCAATCCAGGCAATATCGTGGTTAAACCTCATTTGTACCCTCTCCAAAGCCTCCACATCCATCTCATAGTGGATTGATCAGAATTGCACACAATACTTCAATTGTGGCCTAACTAAAGCTTTCTACAGCTGTAACGTAACTTGCCAACGTTTATACTCCATGCCCTGACCAATCGTGCGTATGCTGTCTTTACCACCTTATCCTCTTGTGTTGCCACTTTTGGGGAGCTATGGACTCTCTCCAAGATCTGTCTATGTATCATAACTCCTAAGGGTCCTGCTATTTACTATACACTTTTCTCTTCTCTTACATTTTGGGAGATCAAATGCATCACTTCATACTTGACTGGATTAAACTCTGTCTGACGTTTCTCCACCCAACTTTTCAACTGAACTATATCCTGCTGTATCCTTTGCAAATTTCCTCCCTATCTACAACGCCATCAATTTTCATGTCATCGGCAAACTTAATCATATCCACGTGCGTTTACAGACAAATTAACTTGTATAAATTGCGAACAACAGAGGGCTCAGCACTGATCCTTACAGAACACTGCTGGTCACACTTCTCCAGTCAGAAGGACACCCCTCCACAACTACCTCTGTCTTCTATGACGAAGGTATTTTGTATCCAACTTATCAATTTACTGTGGCTCCCATGTGACTTCATCTTTTGGACCAGCTTACCATGAGGGACCTTGTAACGCTTTAGTAAAGACCATGCAGATAACGCCCACTGCCCTACCCTCAAATTATATTTGTCACTTCCTCAAAATTCCATCATATTTGTGTGACAAGAGCCCCCCCACACAAAGCCATGCTGACTATGCTACTAGTTCATTCTTTTTGAAATGCAAGTAAATCCTGTCACTAAGAATATTCTCCAGTAGTTTCCCTACCACTGATGTAAGGCTTGCTGGCCTGTAATTTCCTGGATTATTCCCTGTTGCCCTTAAAGGAATAGCATTGGCTATTCTCCAGTCTTCTGGAATCTCTCTTGTGACTAAAGAGGATACAAAGATCTGTCAAGGCCCCAGAAATTTCCTCCCATGCCTCCTCCATGTGCTAGGATGGATCCCAGTAGGCCCTGGGGACTTATCTACTTCAATGTTTTTCACCTCTTCAACACTGACATGCCCTAGAATATTAACATACCCCTCCCTAATCTTAACATCATCCATATCCTCCTTGGTAAATATCAATACAATGTACTCTTGAAGGGCCTCATCCACTTCCTGTGGCACCATGTATAATCTTTTTCCTTTGTTCTTCTGTGATCCTATTCTTTCTCTATCTCTCCTCCTCCTGCTCCTTAAAATGCAATGGGATTCTCCTTAATCCTACTTGTCAAGGATGTTTCATGGCTTCTTTTTAACTGTCCTTATTCCTTGTTTAAGCTCTTTCCTGCTTCTGTTATTTCTCAAGGTCCTTGCCTGGTTTCAGTTTCCTAAACATTACATGCTTCCATTTTCTTTTTGACCAGTCTTTCAGTCTGAGGTCCTGCTTTTCAACTTTCGACCTAACTGTCTCAATTACCTTTTGCAGGACCTTGTGTCTCTTCCTGCTTAGCGTCATAGATGTTCAGCACTGAACAGACCCTCTGTTCCAACTCATCTGTGCTGACCAGATATCCTAAATAAGTCTAGTCCCATTTGGCCCTTATCTCTCTTTAAACCCTTCCTATTTGCATACCCATCTAGATGTCTTTAAATGTTGTAATTGTACCAGCCTCCTCCACGTCCTCTAGCAGCTCATTCCATACACGCACCACCCTCTGCATGAAAAAGTTGCTCCTTAGATCCCTTTTTTAACATCTTTCCCCTTTCAAACCTATACCCTCTAGTTTTTGTACCACACCCCCCCCCCCCCCCCCCCCCCCCCCCCCCCCCCCCGCCATCCCAGGGAAAAGGCCTTATCTAATTACCCTAATCCCTGCCCCTAATGATTTTATAAACCTCTAAGATCACCCCTCAGCCTCTGCTCAGGGAAAATTGGAGCTGTAGTGGACAGATGTAGTTTACTTCAGAGTACAAATGTATCTTGATCAGATGGGCCAATAAGTCAAGGAGTGGCAGATGGAGTTTAATTTAGGTAAACGGGCGGTGCTGCTCTTTTGGAAAGGCAAATCAGGGCAGGATTTATGCACTCCATGGTAAGGTCCTGCGGTGTGTTGCCTTTCAAAAAGACCTTGGAGGACAGGTTCATATTTCCTTGAAAATGGAGTCCCAGGTAGACTGGATAATAAAGGAGGTGTTTGGTATGCTTGCCTTTATTGGTCAGTGCATTGAGGAAAGAAGTTGGGCGGTCATGTTGTGGCTGTGAGGGACATTGTTAAGCCACTCTTGGAATACTGTGTGTAATTCTGGTCTTCCTGCTATAGGAACAATTTTCAGAAACTTGAAAGGGTTCAGAAAATATTTACAAGGATGTTGCCAGGGTTGGAGAGCTTGAGCTATTGGAAGAGGCTGAATAGGCTGGGGCTTTTTTTTTTGAGGCAGAGGATTGACCTTTTATGGAGGTTTATAAAATCATGAGGGGCACAGACAGGGTAAATAGACCAGGTATTTTTCCTGGGGTGGGAGGAGTCCAAAACTAGAGGGCATAGGTTTAAGATTAGAGGGGCAAGATTTAAAAGGGGCGTAAGGTGGAACTTTTTCATGCAGAAGGGGATGTGTATATGGAATGAGGTGCTGTGGTTAGTATCAATATGGATCACAACCTCTGACTGCCCGTTCACCCTTCCAGAATATCCTGTGCCTGCTCGGTGCTAATACACTGAATTTGTGGGGGGAAAATGTGGAAGGTTTTTGGTCATCTGAAAAGCTGTTACCATTCTAGCTCTGTATGGATACTTTGACTAGATTTGAAAGCCTGTAGATGTGACAAACATGCTCTTTTTTTTTTTTGATTTTTGAATACCACCTTCTGTGTTGGCACTGTCTTTAGTCAGTCCTCCAGGAATGCATCTCCGCTAGTCTCTTTGGGTTCAAGTTCCAGTCCAGACTTTAAGTCGTCATCACATTGCCCAGGGAAGGGAACTTAAGCTCCTGTGGGTTATGGAGAATGGATAAAGCAGGTGTCAGAAAAATACAAGTTAGGTTTCAGGTGTACATCTGAAACTAGATTTACTTCATCTGAGTATTGAATATAGGCATGATTACACACTTAAAGTAGACAGATGGAGAGGCTTAGAGGAACTTTCAGAGTTTAGGGCCTCATCAGTTGAAGGCATAATGATTTAAAATTCAGGATGCATAAAGGCCAAAATTGGAGATGAACAGATTAGTGTTTTCTAGAAAATTAGAGGCAGGAGGGTTAAGGTCATGGAGGGATTTTAAAACCAGGATGTGAATTATAAAATTATGTTGGTGGATTGGCTGCCACTGTTGGTCTGTAAGCAGAAGAGTGATTTGGTGTGTATTAGGATACAGTTAAGGTTTTTTGGATGAGATGATGTTTAGGACTGTTGGAAGGCAGTAAGCCAGCCAGAAAGACACCAGAATAATTAAATCCAATGATGGTAATAGATTTGGTTTAGGGTTTCACCAGTAGATGAGCAGAGGGGGATGGAGGTCTGTGATTCAAAGGTGAAATCAGATGGCCTTGGTGAAAGTCTCAGTCAACTGCAAAATAGATACCAGAGTTGCAATTGATTATTACACACTGGTAGTAAACAGAAGGGGGTGAATAGGTTAAGGAACTGAAGACTATAGATTTATTTGGAGTAAATACCCGTTCCAACAATACTAACTGGAAAGTAAGTTCCTCTACAAAGTTAAAATACTGCTTAAAGCATGGTTTTAATGTCCAGTCAATTTTAATCTCCCACCTGAGATTTTTGGTGGGTTTTTTTGAGACATTGGAAGTTAGATTGAAGTCACTGGCTGTAATTGGCATGGAATTATATTATCACCACTCAGTCAGTAAAGGTATGCTGAATGTTCTCAATTTTAGATTAATTATGAAATTTAGTCTGGTTCAGGTAGCTAAAAGTGCTACACTCTGATGTTCTTGATCAAGTGCTGACAAAATCAGCTACAGAGTTCTTACTTGGCTGCCTGTCTTTCCCTGAATCATTCATTTCAAATCAATTTATTTACAAATATTGATTTTTGTGCCTTCTAAAGACTTGAAACCCCAATCTAGGGAAACCATAGTATTTCTCTTATGCTGCTGTTTAGGCCCCAGTCTGCATTTTAATATCATGAACTTTTTTAGTTTTTTCCAAACAAGTATGGTACCTATTAGTGAAATATCCACTCTAAATCCATACGCACAACAGCATTTCCTTTACAGCATTTTCTGAAACATGGTCCAGCTAATTTTTGTGCTTTACATTCCACAAGCAGCAATTAATAAAAAGTCAGACACTGATTAGTGGTTTGGTAGTACTGCTGAAAAGGAAAGCCTGTTTTGGAATATTTCATGTTGAACATTTCAGGGAAGTGCAAGAATACCAAATTTCAAACTGTCAGCAGTTTATGCTACATGAAAAGGGTGCTGATTGGCAATCAATCACCTCTGGATGACCCAATGCTATGGGAAAAAGCATTTTGAGTTGGAACAAGATGTCAGTGGGTGTTCAGGGGTGTAAGTTTGAGGCTGTTTGATGTTTGCGGAGGAGTTTTTTTTAAAAAGTTAACTTTTTTTAGGAGTAACTATTGCCATTGAGGAGAATGGATGTGAGGAATGTTTGATCAGCCATGATCCTATTGAATGGCAAAGCAGGCTTAGGGGCTCAGCAGTTTACTCCTGTTTCTAACCCTTATCTAACTGCAGTAGGACCCTGCTAAACTCTGCAATTAAAATGCATACTTTTGGAGGATTCCAGGCATGGGGAAATTGAGAAGCAGTAATTTCAATTTCCTATGCAATTCCCTCTGTCTGCTATGTTGGGAGTTCCTCGGCTTCCCCACACACAGTTCCCATCGAGATAGCAGATGTGGCTATTGGAAAATTCAGGTTATTGTGTACTTTTCTAATTTACTTACTTAACTCTTCCTCTGTGGCTAACTTGAAGGCTTGAGTTAGATTGTAGGTTCAAATTCCACTCCAGAGATCTGAGCACAAAAATCAGGATTGTATTTCAATGGATTACTAAGAGAGCATTGTAGTGTAATTGTAATGCTTTTCAGATGCACTATTAAACTGAAGCTCACATCTTCTGTCTTGAAGGTAAAAGATCCCATGGCTTTAGTTCAAAGAACAGAGATATTTATCCCAGTGTTCTGGCCTTCAATCAGGCATCCATTTTAAATGACACATTATTTGCTGTTTCCCATGTTATTTGTGGGAACTTGATGTGCAAATATTGGATCAGAGATAGTAGGAACTGCAGATGCTGGAGAATCCGAGACAACAAGGTGCAGGGCTGGGT